TGCTATGTCCCATATGCACCTGGGCTGCACTGCAGAAACCTGGCTGCGTTCACAACACCAGCCCCTTGGTGTGTAGTAGGGGGGCCGAGGCTTCTGCTCCCGCAGAAAGCAGGGGCCCTACCCACCCCTTGCCTGCCACCCCCTCACCGCAGGGCCATCCTGGTCACAGAAACTGTCACCTTAGTGTATGGGAACCTCTGGGACCTAACTGTGGGTTCCACAAAGCCAGAGGCAGAGCAAGACCCTGCAAAGTGGGGACAGGAGCTACACCCCACAGGGCCCCCTAGGGAAGCAGCAGAAGAGGGGTGCAGGCAGGGCGTTATCGGCCACCCTGGAGGCAGGGTGGGGCAGGGCTGGGCAGGGGCCAGTGCCTGCCACAGGGGAGATTACACCCTGGGTTTAACGTTCACCCCGATCCGCGACCTGCCTGGGAGGAAAGGGGGCAAGCTGCAACAAGGGGACAGTCTGACAGCTCTTGGGAGGTCCTGGTCCCTCACCAGCACCCCTGCTTAAGGGAGACACCCCATGCTGCTGCACAGCCCGTTCTCCCACACCCCTATGAGCACGCTGCAGTGAATTGTCCCAAAATCTGCCAGCATCACCCCTGCTGCAGCTACCTCAACCCTGCCCAGCAGAGACCCCAGGAGAGGGGTAGACAGTGGCCACCACCCCCTCTCCAGGTGGGGCCTGGCAGCCCTGCCTGCTCCCCAGCACCCTCCCCCAGGCACCGGCAGGAAACCACAGCTGCAGCCTGCGGGCAGGCTGATAACGGTCACCCAGCCCCATCCTGTCTGCACCCACCGCCTGGGGAGCTGCCCCCATACCCGCTGCTCCCAGACCCGGGGGTGCACCCACACCATGCACAAACGGCAGCCCCACGGGCCCAGTGTCACCCCACATGGAGCCAGGGGCTCTCGCAGGCTGTGCCGGTGGTGCAGCGCGTGCCCCAGGACGCAGGGATGGTTGCTGCGCACGGGTACACGTGGGCGCTCCAGAGTGCTCCCAGCATGCTACTGGCACACCATGCAGACCCATGCCTTTTGTGTACAATCAACATGCATGTGGCTGGGCAACCCTATAGCTGAGCGGGGGAGGAGAGGCTGGCATCAAATCGAGTGAGCAGATAGGCAAGATAAGGACAGGGGACACTGTGCTGTGGTTCCTGCCCTGCCTGGGGGCATGCAGTCACCTGGCCAGTGCATTCCTGGCCACAAGTCCTCCCTGCCCTGGGGGTCCCATCCCCTGCTGGGGCACTCACTCCCCGGGGAGTAGCTTTTACAGCAGTTTGGGCTGAGCAGATAAAATTTCTGGAATAAACTTGGGGCCCTGCACAGACACACAGTGCTGAGACCACTGGTACAGAGCTAACCCATCCACGTTTGTCCAGGTAAATCTTGGGTGAGCTTGCACCAGCCCTAAGGAAAGCTGTGATGGCACAACCTCACATCAGCAACCAGACCCCTGAGGAATCACTTTGCTGAGCACCAGATAGCCACAACCCCATCCTGACTTTGCTGGAGTGTGCCAGGCGTGGGAAGGCAACGTGGCACAGACAGCATCTACCTTGCGGTCACTTTGCTGCAGAGGGGGACAGGGCTAACAACGTGATCCATCCAAACATCGCTGGTAACATGAAGAGAGCGTGGACAAGAGCACGTAAACGTGTACAATGAAGCCTTGGAACCCCCATTACTTCTGCTCCCAGCAGGCCCAGGTGCACCCCAAGGTGCTAGGTAGTCCCAGGGGCATTGGGGAGGCAGAGCCAACACAGGTCAGGGCTGCCTGACCCCCCCGCCACGGCACTCAGCCCGCTCGCCGCTGTCCCTCTCCCAGCGCATCTGTCGCAGAAGGCATGTGGCACAGCTCGGCCTCGTGACGGTGGGGGACGCATGGCGCCAGCTTGGCAGAAGGGAGGGATACGGCAATGGGCCGTGCCCCGGCCAGGCATGTCCATGCTGGGACCCAAAGCATGTGGGCTGGGAAGCTCTCCCTCCTGACGAGGGGTGCGCAGGCTGGCTCCTTGCAAGGTATCCCAGGGAAGGTGCTGACCTTGGGAAAGTTGCTTCCCTGCCATGAAGCTGGAGCCAGCCCTGCAGGGAGAGAGAACAGCTCCGCTTCGCTCTGCTCCCCTCCTCCCTCTCTGCACTGACACCATCACTACAGGGGGAAAAATAATGATAATAATAAAAATAATTAAGAAAGAAAGTGCAGAGCATGCTGGGAGAGTGAGCGGTGCCCCCAGGGGTCAGGGCCCTGCTGAGGTCTGGATGCCAAGCCCTCCCCTGTGAGAAGGGCTGAGCAGAGCGGTCAGGCTGATGGCCCTGCTCCGAGTAGCCCAGGGCACAGCACCACCGGCACCAGCACCCAGCAGCTGCTGCCCCGGCCTCCGCCACCTCCTCTTTGAGCCTGCCACACTCTCCCTGTTCACCTCTCCACATCTGGGGTGGCGGCCAAAACGCCCCCAGCCCTCCACTGGCCCCAGCAGCTCCCCACCATTCTCAGGCACAAGGACTGCGTCAGGTTTCCAGCTGCACAGCCTCCCAGCCCCAAAGCTCTTGGAGAGGGAGGAAAGGAGAAGGGAAACATCCCCAGAGGAGTGCAAGTGGAGGTACACTGGGGCAGGATGCACCCCCAGGGATGGCAAGGAATACGTAGCCCCCCTGAGAAGGCACAACTTCGAAGGGGGGCAGCCAACCCCCCCGAAGCAGCAGTTCCCAAGCAGGAAACTCCTCCAAGTTAATGCAGCCCTGAAGAGCAGCCTGGGCAGAGCGGCTCATTAAATGTTTCTGGCTGGCGGGAGGCCAGCGGCAGAGCTTGTTTTTTCTATATTCCGATAAACAGTCCGGGGAGGGGAAGGGGGAGGGGGCGCAGGCTCTGGATGTGCCACCCAGCCCCGGCGGGGGAGCGGGGTGAAAGGCGGGGGGCACACGCACGTTGCACGCACCCGCGTGTCCTCCCCACTGCGGGGGAGTGGGCAGCAGCAGCAGCAGCGTGGGGGGGACCACAGCACAGGAAGCCATCCAAAGGGATGCTCCCAGGTGCGGGGTGACCCCATGGCCCCCCATCACCGCACTGAGGGAAGACCCCCCCTATTTGCGCCCACCAACATGGCGATGACATTCCGGGTGGCACGGGGCCAGCTCCCGGGGGACGTGACAGGGCCCCACCGTCAGCTGTGGCTTGGCCTTCACCCCGCCGAGGCAGGACCCCTGCCAAGGCTGGGGGTGTCAAGAGGGGTGTTGTGCCCCCGTTGCGGGGTGCTTGCGGGGCGGGTGCTGTGGCTGCTCAGCCTGGCTCGCAGGGAGGTTCACGTGACTTTCTGCTTGAGGAAGCAGCGCTCTGGCAGCTTCCAGTGGGAGATGGAGGAGGAGGAGGATGGGGGAAGGGGCCGCCTGCCTTCATGGAAACACGGCGGCAAGGCGCAGGCAGCGCAGGGGCGGGGGGCTGCCACGCAGGGGCACCCCCTTCCCCAGCCCGGGGATCCAGCCACAAACCCCTCAGCAGAGGTGGCCCCAGAGGATGCATGGGGACCATGTGCTGTCACAGCGTCCCACTGCCCACAACAGCCCCCCTGCATGGGGGTCCTGACCTGGCAGGAGGCTCTCTCGGGACCACAGGGATGCTGTCACAGAAGCTGGGCTGAGGAGCATCCCCACTGTCCCCCTGCAGGGACTCCAAGCGCCAGATGCCTAGGGAAATGGCAGAGCCCCTTTCCCAGGGCCCCCCGGACTTGGCTCCCCCTGTCCACCGCCCAGCGCCAAGGGGACCTGGTGTAGGAGAAGGCTCCGGCAGCCCCTTGGGACCCCTGCCCTGCCTTGTTCCTGGCACAATGACATCCTGCATGCAGCAGCAGGCGATGCAGCTGGGCCAGCTGCCCCAAACCTGCCCCCGAGCCTAGGCATCCAGACGAGCATCCCTGTGGGAGCACCCTGCTGGGTGCTGAGACCTCACCAACTCATCACATCTCCCATGTACTCCAGCAGCCTCACTAGCCCACAGGGGCCAGGATCGGGAAGAAGCCCCTCAGCAGGCACCCCAAAATGGCCATGGTGGCAGGGCATGCAGCATCCTTTCCGCCAGCACCATGGCCAAGCTCCTCCAGGGATACTGTGCACACGGGGAGCTGGGGCACCCCACAGAGCTCCAGCCACAGGGGCTGCTTCGAGGTCACCCCTCACAGTGCCATCTGCATGCCTACCCAACACCCCTGCAGCACCCTGCCTGTGGGGTCCCAGCCCCAGGGCTGGTACCAGCACCCATGTGCTCTTGGGTCCCAGACCTCTCGGTCCAACAGACCTCAGCATCCATACACAGCACTCATGCCATGGGGTCCCAGCCTCACAACTAGACCCCAGTGTCCATGCCCTAGGGACTCCAGCCTACAGCTAGACTGTAACAGCCCATACGAGGGGGAATCCATTCCCATGGCCGGACTCAATGGCCACACCATAGTGCTGGGGCTCCAGTGCCCATACTTTGTTGACTCCCATAGCTGGTCCCCACTACCAGTGCCGTGGAGACCCCAGCCCCATGGCCAAAGCTCAGCACCCACATGGAAGTGTTCCTTGACTCACAGTCATCTCCCAGCAGCCATGCCCCAGAGACCCTAGCCCCATTGCCAGGTCCCAGAATCAGTGCCATGCAAACTCCAGCCCCACAGCCAGATCCCAGCACCAATGCCATGGAGATCCCAGCCCCACAGCAAGATTCCAGCTGCAGTACCATGGGAACCCCAGCACCAATGCCACGGGGACCGCAGCCCCACAGCCAGATCCCAGCACCAATGCCACGGAGACCCCAGTCCCACAGCAGGACACCAGCATCAATGCAGTGAGGACCGCAGCCCCATAACCGGACCCCAGCTCCTATTCTTTGTGGAGCCAGACCCCAACACCGACACCATAGCGGCCCCCACCCCACAAGTGGCCCCAGACCCCCATCCAGCCCCAGTGCCGCAGGGACTCCAGCCCCAGGGACAGCCCCCGCGCCGCGCCACTCACCAGGGCATGCACAGCCCACTGACATCTTCA